TCTCCTCTCTCCTCCTCCTCCCTTCCTCCTCCTCCTGTCTGTCTTCTCCTTCTTGTCTCCTCTTTCTTGTCTCCCCCTCCTTGTCTCTCTTCTCCTCCTCCTCCTTGTCTCCTCCTTCTTCCTCCTTCTCCTGTTCTCCTCGTCTCCCCTTCCTTGTCTCTCTCCTCTTCCTCCTTGTCTCCTCCTCCTCTTGTCTCCCTTAAACTCCAGTGAATTAGGAAGGGGTCTATCAGAGTCGGTTCTGAACCTTACCTAGAGGTTCTAGGGTCAATGTTTCACCCTTTGATACCTTGACAAGAGAACTTACATCTACCGTACTCTCTTTTCTTTTATTTCTATTCCGCAAAGCCAACAGGAGAGACTATTCCAAAGGTTAAGTATTTCAGCAAAGTAGGTATGCCTCCTGGACTCTGTGTCACAGAAAGAATCCATAGTAGATCTGTTGGGATGGACAGAAACATTTGGAGTCAGGCAGTCCTGCAAGTACCTGACTCTCAGACATGCAGGGCATCAAAGATGACAATCAGCACCTTGAATCCGGAATCATACTGGAATCAAATGAAGCTCATGCAGCAATATTATGTGTCTATACACCAAAAACTGCTGTGCCATTGCATTCTGGACCAGCTGTAGCTTTCAAATGTTTTTCAAGAATAGCCTACTGCACATTGCAGTAGCCCAACTTAGAATGACCATGATACGCTCCTTTCTCATGGTGTAAAGAGAATGACCATGATTGGAGCCCCCTCCCCAATCGAGAACAACAGTAAGTGGTACACAAGTTGGATTTGTGCCAAGATCCTCCAACTATGAGCTCAAGAAGAATCCCGAATTACAGATTAAATCTGCCTGGTGGAGTGCTATTCCATCCAGAGATAAGGATGGAATGTATCCAGATCTGGGAATCCCTAAAACCACAGGTAGGTCTTGCTAATACGAGTTGAACCTTGTTCTTCTCTCCACAATGGCATTGTTTTCATGCACTGGGGAAGAACCTCAGTGTCATTACTCGAACAGTCATGAGCAGAAGGGTATAACTGAGTATCATCAGCATAACTGTTTATCCTTGATCTTGTGCCGATGAATGGTGTCACCCAATAGCTTCAGGTTGACGTTAAATAAGAGTGGAAGAGACTGAGCCTTGAAATACTCTGCAATGCAAGGATCTAGGGCTGAATCACTTACCTTATACTAATACCAACTGGAACCAGCCTCAAAAGAAGAGGAGATCCCAACTTCTCAGATTTTATTTTATTTTATTTTTATTGCACATTTTCCAACATTTATACCACATTTCCAATCTTTACAGTGTTTCAGTATCACTCATAGTTACATATTAGTATTTTCATTTTTTTCCTTTCGTCTGATATACTATTCTTATAATAATATTCTTACATGTATATTTTGCCTTTTCACTAATATCTACATATATATAATTCCCGTCGCTCTTAACTTCTCAGTTTTGAGTTGAAACAAGATGAATTTTTTCCTCATCTTCTAAATTTTATTATGGCAGCAGCTAAGTAGAAGAAGGCAACGTAATGTCTTCTCATTTCCCTCCCAAATTGTCTGTGTCCTATGTGAATAGTTTATGCATTATTCAACCATACAAAGGGAAAACTCCTTCCCCTTTCAAAAACGCAAAGCTCCTAATAGTTGAGCTCAGAGTGATTCTCTGAAAATCAAAAATGATGTATCGAGGTCTCTGGTATATCACTGGTGCTATTAATTACACCATTCATCTTTACTTGACTGACGATAGCTTTCTTAGAATGCTAGAAAATGTAGAAGTTACAAAATGCCATCCTGCAGTATCCTTTGATTAGTATTTATGGCCCTAAAATTACAGGCCCAGAGGTTAATTGCCATGTGGAGCAACTATCCTTTTCATCTAATTAATATATTATAATTAAATAAGCAGGGAGCTTGGAGACTTACCCGTCTCTTCCACTACCTGCACAGGATATCTAACTTTCCTTGAAAGGGCATTTTCTATTAGAAACAATTCCTTGTTTGGGATAGAAGAGTTTGTCTATGATCCTTCTTTGGAGTTTGTGTTGGACCTGCCACAACTTAAACCCTCTAATTAGAAACCATTTTTCTCCATTTGTTGAGAAAGATATGCTTTATTAGAGTTCAAGTTATTGCCGTATTGCAAAGCCAGGACTGAGAATTGTACACCAAAATCCCTACTTTTCCCCTCCCTTCAGTGTTTATCTTTGCCCACCTCAGTTTTACCAATTAGGTTCAGGTAAGCTGTTTCCGTAACGGTCAGTCCAAGCACATTTTGGCAGTGGCTCCCTCCTTCTTCCAGTTGGGTGACCTTGAGGCAGCATCTGGAGGAGATACAGCACTTAGTTTCATTTTCCCCGAGCATGATCATGGCATAGCAATGAAATGCAAGTCAGCATAAAGTGGCAGCTGACAATTTGATTTCCAGAATCATCCTGGAAACCAACTTCAGAGAATGCTTTGAGAGTGTTTTAACAAAATGCATCACTGTTTGGTTTGGTGGCAGCCGTGCCTCAGATAGAAAGTCCCTACAGAGAGTGGTAAGGACAGTGGAGATTATAGGAAGCCCGCTTTGCATTATTCAGGATGCTGCTTATAAGCACTCTGTGCTTAGAGCTCTAAGCATTGTTAGAGACCCCACACACCCACTTCACGGTCTGTTTCTGTTGCTCCCCCCTGGGAGGAGGTTTCGAAGTATTTCTAGCAGGACTATCAGATTCCGTAACAGCTTTGTTCCCTATGCCATCCATCAAGTAAACTTGCAAGGTTAGTTTTTCTTGCCATGGACATGTATACATCTGAATTAGACTGTGTTGTTTCTCTGTATCATGTAATATATGTATAATATATGTATAATATATGTATACCATGTTTCTCATATAATAAGGCTGGGTCTTATTTTTTTTTTGAGCCCCGAAAAAATGGCTAGGCCGTCTTTTCGGGGGTGACTTAATTCCCCTTGCATCTTCGGGAGGGTGGCGACAGCTTGGATGTTGACCTCGACATTGGTGGGGCACTTTGTATCGGGGTCAACGCAGGCAGCACCATATCCAGGTGTGCCAAAAAAGTACTTCCTAATGGCAACCCCCCCCCCACCATTCCACCCATTTCGCATGTTTTAATATAGGCCTTAATTTGGGGGAGGGGCTTAATTTCATTTCATGCCTATAAAACATGCTGGGACTTCCTATTGGGGAGGCCGTATTGTTGGAGAAAGAGGGTATGCATAATTTTATTGTCATGTTTATGCAGTGTATATTTTTAATGTCTGACCATTAGTGTGCATTCAAAGTGACAATAAAATTATTCTGCGTTATTCTAGCTAATGGAACGACTTGCCATCAGAATTTGTAGATGCTTCATCACTGGAGGCTTTTAAAAAGAGACTGGACAGCCACTTGTCTAAAATGGTATAGGATCTTCTGCTTGAGCAGGAGGTTGGACTAGAAGACCTCCAAGGTCCCTTCCAACTATCTTCTGATTGATTGCATTTTTTAGCAAGCCGAAAATGCTTTGAGGAGTTTTATCTTGGTTCTCTGCAGTTTAGGCTCACTATTTTTTTATTTTTTTTTTGGTACCCAATGCAGCAAGTAACCGCAAGAGAGGGAGGGAGGGAGGGAGGGAGAGAGAGAGGGAGGGAGGGAGAGAGAGAGGGAGGTTTCTTTTGGTAAAGATCAGAACTTTTCTTTCATTTTTTTGGGAGGACTAGTTTTTGTGCAGCATTTTCATTTGGACTGTTGCTGTGTAGGGAATGGAGAAAACTTCTAACACACTGTGGCTTTAATGAAAAGGGCCCCACCTCCAGGACTTAATTCTTTGAAAAAGCAGGCAGGGTTGCTAATCACTCAATTAAAGTAACATCAAGTTTGACCCTTAGCCTCACACATCTGGGACCTGGCATAGCAGCGAGGTTAACTCCAAGAAGCTTGTGATGGGACCTCTGAGAAAAGCCTCACACTATTGATTCTTCTTGCGATCTGCTGTGCAAATCTATTTAAAATGTTACCGCTCGGATTGCCAAGCTTTCCAAGGACTCACTTCAGTGATTGTGTGTTCCATTTAAGTTGCAAGTTAAATACACAGTGACTAAACATGCGTGTGTGTATTTGTGAATGCACGTGCATGTTTATATTTAGTTCTTTAACATTTGTTCATCGGCGATTTCTTGTTTTCCTTATAATTCTGTTTTGCATTTTTAATATTTTATTTAATATTTACTTCATTGCATTTTATTGAAATGAAATTTAAAATGTTATTTTGATTTCTTAATGCTATTATTCATCTCTTTTTCTTATGACACAATAGATTTTACTCCAAGAGTAGAAAAGGGATACTTCTGTACCACTTCTGCTTTTACTGCACGCTATGTTCCCTCCGGAGTACTTAGAATAGAATAGAGCTGGAAGGGACCTTGGAGATCTTCTAGTCCAGCCCACTGCTCAAGCATCAGGACCTATACCATTTCAGACAAGTGACAAGCATCCAGTCTCTTCTTAAAAACCTCCAGTGATGGAGCGCTCACAAATTTCTGAAGTGTTGGTTAATTGTCCTCACTTTTAGGAAGTTTCTCCTTAATTTCAGGTTGCTTCTCTCCTTGATTAGTTTCCAACCATCTCTTTGGTTATTTTCTGAACAATATATGTATACACATATATTTCATTCTCCTGGAGAGGAATAACTAGATGAAGTTGGCTGAGAGCTCAAAAACAGAGATGGCTCTGTGGCCTCACGCTTCTGCAGGGTCATTTGCAAAAATGAATCAAGCAAACGTAAATTCATTTATACTATAAATTCACTTGCCAAAAGTAACACCAACCATAAGAACCTCCGTTCTCGCCCTGACCTAACCATATAGCAATATGCCCTCTCCCGTGTACTCCTCACTGAACTCAAAAACATCTAGACAACGGCGAGTTGACTATCGTGCTGACTGTATCAAAAGTTTAAGTCACACAACCCGCAACTCAGCTTTAACCTTCAACCATAACCCTACCTCAACCAATCCACCATTGATCCATGAGCAGTAAGCTAATCAATCAGAATAGAGCTGGAAGGTACTTGGGAGGTCATCTAGTCCAGCCCCCTGTTCAAGCAGGAGACCCTATATCATTCCACTTAAGTGCCTGTCCAGTCTCTTCTTAAAGACCCCCAATGTTGGAGCACCCACAACTTCTGAAGGTAAGTTGTTCCACCAATTCACTGTTAGAAAGTTTCTTTTTTAATAGAATCAATGAGCTGGAAGGGACCTTGGAGGTCTTCTAGTCCAGTCCCCTGCTCAAGCAGGAGAACCTATACTATTTTCGGACAAGTGGCTGTTTAGTCGGTTCTTAAGAACATTCAGTGATGGGACGCCCACTATTTCTGGAGACAAGTTGTTCCACTGGTTAATTGTCCTCCCTGTTAGGAAGTTTCTCCATAATTCCAGGTTGCTTCTGTCCTTAATTAGTTTCCATCCCTCTTGCCTTTTGGTGCTTAGGAAAATAGATTGACCTCCCCCTCTTCTTTGTGGTAGCCCCTCAAATATTGGAATACTTCTACCAAGTTGCCCCTAATTCGTCTTTTCTTTAAACTATCGAAACTCAAATCCCGCAGTTCTTTATATGTAGAGGCTCATATTTAGAATAGACTCTCATGCTCGAGCATGAGGTTGGGCTAGATGACCTCCAAGGTCCCTTCCAACTCTGTTATTCTATGTTTTAGTCTCCAGGACGTTAATCAACTGAGTTGCTCTTCTCTTCATTGCCTAATGTCAAATGCAAATCTACAGTAAATGCATAGGACACTTCCTGTGTTGTGAGGGATAAAATGTGTTTGTTGTCTGGTTCCTAACTGGTTTCTTTCTGCTGTTATCAAGAGTTAAAAAAAAAAACTCCCCCGCTCCCCCGTTTCATTCTTGCTGAGGGAGTTCAGGAGATTCAAACGGCTGACACGTGGCCAGCTATGCCCGAGTGAGCAAGGTTACAAAGCCAATCCTTTTTGCCAAATAAGAATTTTGACTGCTTGACCAGCTAGGTGAGTCTGTATAGGCAACCTCCATCCAGCTGCTGATTGTTTTTCCCCAGTGACTAATCCCATCACTATCGGCTTGGAACTTTTCTTCATTAAGGAGAGATTGCAACAATTCTGACTTGCTCCGTGTTCAGCAAAAGGGGCTATAGCGCAGGGTCAGCTCAGACCAAAGGTGCCAGGTTCATTCCTGAACCTTGTGAAGGTTGAGTTAACATGTAGTTTCATGCAGACATTCTTTTGTTTAAGGTGAGGGATAGTAAGAGGCTTTCTCGGGACTAAAACGCACCTTTTATTTTAGTGTCATCTAGCACACCTTGAAAAAAAATCTTTTTTTTAATAGAATGAATGAGCTGGAAGGGACCTTGGAGGTCTTCTAGTCTAGCCCCCTGCTCAAGCAGGAGAACCTATATAATTTCAGATAAGTGGCTGACTAGTCTCTTCTTAAAAACCTCCCGTGATGGAGTGCTCACAATTTCTGAAGGCAAAGCTGTTCCACTGGTTAATTGTCCTCCCTGTTAGGAAATTTCTCCTTAATTCCAGCTTGCTTCTCTCTGATTAGTTTCCATCCATTGTTTCTTATCTTGTCTTCTGGTGCTTTGGAGAATAATTTGATCCCCTCTTCTTGTGGCAGCCCCTCAAATAGTGGGATACTGCTATTATAGTCGCCCCTGATTCTTCTTTCTTTAGACTAGCCAAGCCCAAATTCTGCAACCGTTCTTCCTATGATTTTGTCTCCAGGCCTTTGATCATCTTAGTTGCTCTTCTCTGAACTTTTTCCAAAGTCTCAACATCTTTTTTATAAGGTGGTGACCAAAATTGGCTGCAGTATTCCAAGTGTGGCCTTACTAGGGCTTTATAAAGTGGTACTAATACTTCATGTGAACTTGATTCTATGCCTCTGTTTATACAACCCAGGATTTTGTTAGCTTTTTTGGCTGTTGCTGCACACTGCTGGCTCATATTCAAGCAATCATCCACTAAGACTCCAAGGTTCCTCTCACAGTTATTCTTTCTGAGCCTGGTCTCACCTAATTTTATTCGTGTCAGTGGCTAGCCACTGTTTCATTCTCCAGTCTCTTCAAGCTGCTCATGATGAATGTATTCCATACCCATTAATTTATGTGAGTTATTATACCTGACCTGTTTAGTGATTTAAAGGAACATGGAGGTAGTCCTCAACTTAGGACCACAATTGAGCCCCAAATTTATGTTCCTAAGTGAGACATTTGCTAAGGGAGTTTGGCCTCATTTCATGACTTTTCTTGCCACATTTGTTAAGCAAATCACTGCAGCTGTGAACTTAGTGACATAATTGTGATGGGAATCTGGCTTCCCCGTGGACTTTGCTTGTCAGAAGGTTGCCAAAAGGGGTCACATGACCCTGGGACACTGCAACCATCATAAATAGGAACCAGTTGCCAAGTATCTGAATTTGGATCACATGACCATGGGGATACTGCAACGGTCATAAGTGTGAAAAAAGATTATGTCACTTGTTTCAGTGCCCTTGTAACTTTGAACGGTAAGTCAAGAACTTCTTTGCATATAAGTCTCATCTTATTTTAATCTCTCAGGTGACAATCACGTAATATGGGATGGAGTAAGGTAGCATAATCAGTGGTTATAGAATCACTGATTGGACCTAGGAAATCTCAGCCAGTCCTTGAGTATTGAAGATTTGTCCTGAAATGAATACAAACCCCAGCTCTTTTGTAGTGCAATGGTGGTTTATTCGTTAGCTCAGCAAGCAACAAATACTCTTCTCTGACAAGAAGGGTTAAAAGCCAGGCAAGGTTAGGGTTGGGTTTGAGTTTGCTCCCTTTCCTTTTATCACCATTATCATGAGACACACCCTACCACACACAGGCCTATATCCAGTTCTAGTGGCCATGCCTAACCCATTATCCCTAAATGCTATTGACCCTGTAACACGTCTACATACCTATCCTATTCGGACCCTCACTAATTGATCCTCACCTGGTACCACCTTCACCATGTTTTAACCTAAATCTTAATTACCACCTATGTGTGCCCCAACCCCTTTTAACAATATGCACCACATCAGTACATGAAAAGAGCCATTTCCAGCAGCCCCGCAGTTGTTGCACAATCCATCCTCAGCTCTGCTGAGTCATTCCAAAGACATCAGCCAGCACACAAGCAGAAATACAGATCTGGCAACAGCAGAGGTAAGGTGACATGGCCAGCTGACTTGCTGCGAGGCATATTCAGAGCTGACGGGCTCCGAGTGAACTTGGAGCCTGACAGGGAATTTATAATTTCAATCTGGATTTCCCAAATCTAGCCAAACATTTCACATTGTACTGTGTGCACTAGGATTGTGTTAGGCAACATGTTTAACCAGGCTATGGAATCCACAAATGATCCCTGCTTGTGCTTCACATTGGATCAGAGTTGGGTTTGCAAGAGAGTTTAACATCTTGGGTAAAAAAGAGCCGCTAAGTTTACAAATGATCAAGTTAAGGATACTATGCAGGGGTGGGATTCAAAAATCCCAGCAACTGGTTCTCTGCCCAGTTGCTGGGTGGGTGTGGCCATGGTGGGTGTGGCCTATCGGAACTTCCGGGAGGGCCATTTTTCACCTTCCCCAGAGTCTGGAGGCTTCCCTTGGGCCTCTGGGAGGGTGAAAACAGACTCCCCCAGGCTCCCGAGGCCTCCGGAAGCCAGAAACAGGCTCATATCCAGACTTCCAGAACTTCTGATTCAGCCTGTTTTTTGTCCTCCCAGGGCCTCCGTGTGGACCCTGCACTTACCTGCATCCAAAATGGGCCACAGATTCCTGGGAGGGGAGGGGCAGGGTTGGCGGGGCCAGCCGGTTGGTTCAACTACCAATTCAGTGAACTAGATGTAAATTTAACATTCGGTTCACCCAAATTGGCTGGAACCGGCTGAATCCCAACTCTGGTACTATGTGAATACAGTCCATGTCTGTTGTATAGCTTTGTAACATTTTTGTGGGTTTTCTTTTTAACGTTAATGCTGATGTTCCCTTCATTTTGAATCGCCATGATTTGTGTCAATCTGTGTGCATGCCCACATCAACTGACCAGGTTTTGAAATATTTTCCATTCCTAGGTGAGTCTTACTTGGCTGGGATCACAGCCAAGCTTAATCTTTTTTTTGTTGCTTTTTGTTTGCAAGGGGTGCCTTTGAGTCAGTGTTCATTCCTGACAACTGCCTGGACAACTCCCTGCAATTCTTTTGGCAAAATTTCAGAAGTAGGTTGCCATTGCTCCTTCCTAGGGCAGAGAGAGAAAGACTGGCCATAGATCACACAGCTCTCTGTAGGAAAAGAGTAGGCAAAGCTGGGGGTGAAGTTAAACATGTCATCAACTTAGAATCTTTACATTGCTAGAAATGATCCAAGTCCAGCCACTTCTGAATTCCTTTGACCCTTACCTTGAGACAATTTAGTTCTACTGTTAGATGACTAGATTCTTGTGCCTAGGCTTAAGTCTTCTATGCTACAACTTTACCCATCTGCCTGTAAATTGAAGAGAAACACCATAAATTGGTTTGCTTGTTTATATATTTATTTAAAATTTTATATGGATGTCCCGTCTTCCAACCAATTCTGTGCAGCTCTCAAGCAAAAGTTAAAACCACATCATATTAAAACTACAAAAACTTAAACAGATTAGAACATTAAAAACAATGAACACCTGGCACTAAATCAACTTTCTAATGTGCCATCATCTAATCATCCCCCCAATGCTTGGGGAAAAACTCAAGTAAGCCTCCATGGAAGGCTTACAAATTGCAAAACAGAGGCAAACATCGCTAAAGTTTGGTAAAATCACTACCTTCGTTAGAAACTCAAGTAAGTCTCCATGGAAGGCTAAAAGAATGGAGGCCTGACAAACATGAAGGGGCAGCGGGTCCATAGCGGTGACGCTATTCTACCGATTCAGCCCAGTTCTGCTGAGCTGGCAGCACCAATGACCAGCGGAGACTTATCACCCACCCAGGCTCCCATACTCATCTTTATCCTCTAAAGGAAGCGCAGCTGCTTTGTGCAGCACAGCAGAGTGCTGTGCGGCAGCTGCTGAAGGGACCGGGAGAGTGCAGGCCTGCAGGAGGTGAGTTGGAATGCCTCTGCGCCTGTGCAAATTGTGCATTTGGTGCACACATGCACGCAAAGAGTGTGCGCACATGCACAAAGCACACCCACCAAGCCATGTCCACTGAACTGGTAGTAAAGATGTTTGAATCCCACCACTGGTCCGTAGGGCAGTGGTTGTCATGGAAAAAGTGTTCTTCCTAGCTCCCATCAGATGCCATATTTAGGGGAAGGGACTAGGGACTAGGAGCATGAGTAGAGGTTCTTAGGGAAAGATGGTCTTGCAGATAATCTAACCCTATGCCCACTTTAAAAGTGATGACCAGCCTCAGGTGCCTTCATTTAACCCAAACATCCCAAAAGATCAACCCTGCCCCAGTGCTTCTAAATTAATCTTCCAGCTAGAACATTATGCAGTCCTTCCTGGACCCAAAAAAGCATGAAATATGGATGCTGAATCCCTAAATAATTCGACAGCAAATGACAATTGAGCAGAATGTTAGTATATCACCATAAGTGTATAATTTGGAAAATGGAAAGTTGTGAATATTTACAGCTTTGCTTTGGGTTTCAGCCATGCTAAATTCTCCCAGCTGCTCTGATGCAGCAGCCCTCAGCACATCTGATGTCTGGGGCTCCATGGATCGGTTCGGCTTTCTCGGTCAGGCAGTAGCATCCCTGCCATTTGCATCCATAATATTTCATAACAATAATGCCTCCCCCACCCCCCAAAGACACACAATTCTATTGCCTCCCAGCATGATCCAAGGATCCCAGCATCATCCTTGGAGCAGTTGAAAGAAAGCAATTATCAGAGAACACCAGGTCCCTATCCACCACCTCCAGGGGAGAAATTAATAAGCTTTCTGAAGCTTGTGACTTGTTTTTTCCTTTCTTTTATTCACCTTGCAAATAAATGCAACAACCAAGCTCCGGAGTTCAGGTTGCAAAAGGGAGGCAAATATTGCTAAAGTTTAGTAAAATTGCAAACTTTGTTAAATGAAGGCAGAGCTGATGTTACAGCCCACAATTCCACCAGTGTTTATCTGCTGAAATAAAGAGATGCACGAGAAGCTGCAGAAGTGACTGCTGTCTGGATCCTTCCCACCAGCAGTTCTCTTTCGCAGAAAATATTAGCCCTTTAAAGAATTCCCTGTATTTTTTTTTTAAGTTTTCCTATTAGTCCAGCTGTTTACCGTGGATAATGTCTGGCCAATGAATTCCTATTTGCTCCAGAATAATGTAAAGCAAGGTGTTCCAAAAAGATAGATTCGTTAGAAATCTGAACTGGCAGACTTTAAACCTACGGAACTTTTTACCTTTTTAAAAGTTTCAAAAATTTTAATACCGCCAACTGCCAGAGCCTTATGGCTGTTTACAATAAAAAATTAAACCTCAAATGAATAAATAATATATCAAAAAAATAACCATCCAAGATCAAACATGAACAATTAAATTAGAACAATAGAAAATTTGTAGCCTGGTTGTATTGTGATGGGTTTTATAAAATGTCAACAATAACCTAAGGAGGGAGCACATTGTAAAAACTTTTTTTGGATGGTTTTTATGGTCAACAATAAAACACTACGGGTAGTTCTTGATTTAGTCATTTGTTTAGTGATTGTTTGAAGTTATAATAGTACTAAAAAAAGTGATTATGACTGCTTTTCACACAACCATTCTAGCATCTAATGATCACATGATTAAAAATTTGGATACTTGGGAACTGACTCATATTTATGACTATTTTGCTGGCCTGGATTTTCATGACTCCCTTTTGTGACCTTCAGACAAGCGAAGTCCACAGAGAAGCCAGATTCATTTAACAAACTTATGTTGCTAACTTAACAACTGTGGCAAGAAAAGGCCACAAAATGGCGCAAAACTCACTTAACATCTGTCTTGCTTAGCAACAGAATTTTGGGGCACAAACTAGGTAACCTCATCACTGTAATATCACTGGCGAGGTGTTACCAAGTTTGGTAATGAAATGTAAGAAAACAAGAAAGCTCAGAGCGCACCAAGGACCCCAGAGTATGTAACAGTGTAAAGGGGACTACTTTGGCATTGTTTGAGGCTACCAAGCTGACTTCATAAATCACAACTTGCGGACATTCCTGTGACTAGCGTTGACACACTATGTATTCAAAATGGACAGTGATTAATCTTACGTAGCTTTTTCTCTGGTAATATTACACTAATAACTAAAGCATACAAAACATTTGCTAGACCAATGCTCGAATATGGCTCATCAGACTGGAACCCGCATTACCTATCAGATATTAACACAGTTGAGAAAGTCCAGAAATATTTCATAAGAAGAGTTCTCCGCTCCTCTACTCAGTGCAGAATACCTTATGCCACCAAACTCGAAATTTTAGACCTAGAAAACCTAGAACTACGCCACCTTCGGTCCGATCTAAGTATACTATATTAAATTATACATTGCAATGTCCTACCTGTCAATGAATACTTCAACTTCAACCATAATAACACTAGAGCAAACCATAGATACAAACTCAAGGTTAATCGCACCAAACTTGATTGCAGGATATGCGACTTCAGCAACAGAGTGGTCAATATCTGGAATACTCTACCGGACTCTGTGGTTTCTTCCCCAAACCCCCAAAACTTTAACCTTAGACTGTCTACCATTGACCTCAGCCCTTTCCTAAGAGGCCTGTAGGGGGTGTGCATAAGCACACCAATGTGCCTACCGTCCCTGTCCTATTGTTTCTTTTATATATATTTTTATTTTTCTTATATCATCCATGTATTCATAACTATGTTTTTACTTATGCCTATTATCTTGTAAGCAATTGACAAATAAAAATACATAAATAAAAATAAACACACACACACACACACACAAACACACGTGGTTATATATGGGTAGATATATACTTCCTCCTGAGAGCAGGCAACAGAATTTCATTTTTAATGTGGGCCAGTGTGTCCCCAGTAAAAAAACAATGATAAAGTTGCCTTGCCTTTTATCTTTATCTTTATGATTATCTTTATCTTTAATTTTAACTTTAAGTTTATCTTATCCTACTTTACCTTACCTTACCCTACACTATGCTACTCTACTCTACCCTACCCTACTTTACCTTGTCCTACCCTACCCTACCCTACCCTACCCTACCCTACCCTACCTTACCTTACCTTACCTTACCTTACCTTACCTTACCTTACCTTATCTTGCCCTACCCTACCCTACCCTACCTTACCTTACCTTATATACATAAAACCTAGGTTGTGCACCAGAAACTAATTCCTATCTCAACAGTATTTTCCCCAGATCAGTTGTCTTAGACTTAAAGCATTTAACGCATCAGGAAGGGGTGCTGAAATTGAAATGTTACTTTTGATTTGACTCAGATAATTTTCAGGAGACAGTCTCCCCAAATTCATTCAGGATAAGCATTCATCACTGACTAATAGGGAGTTCTTGAAATCAAGTCATAAAACATAATTATAGAAATAAAAAACACCATAATTAAAAATGAAATCCAAATCCAGCAAAATAAAATTAAAGCCAGCATCAATAAAAACCAGTTAATTACATGATAGAAAGTAGATCAATGTTCCTGTTTTCTCAGACCCACGCATACATGGAAGTTCTCCTACATATTAGCATGGTAATGAAACTTGTCCTCTAATTTGAAAAACTTTTATTTTTAAGAAAGGTGGTTCTGTACTTCTGCCTTACTTTCAGAACAGTTTAGAGCAACGGTCTTCAAACTTGGCAAATTTAAGACTTGTGGACTTCAACTCCGAGAATTCCTGAGCTAACATGACTGGAGGAGGAATTCTGGGGGTTGAAGTCCACAAGTCTTAAAGTTGTCAAGTTTGAAGACCCATGGTCTGGGGTCTTTGGGCCTTTGGGTTAATGATGACTCAGTTTACCTATCACAAAAGTTGGATAAGGAGTACTCTGTGCTTGCTTCCCTTTTGAATAAAGATAGCATAGCTGGCTGGAGAATTCTGAGAGTTGAAGTCCACAAGTCTTAAAGTTGCCAAGTTTGGGGACCCCTGCCTATGGTATATGTTTCTTCTAACACTGGCATTTGGAAAAAAACATTTACCCAAATTAGTTTACTGTATATACAACTGTATAGAAAACTGCATTTTATTGACCGTACTGTTTGCAAATATATGCAGCAATGGGATGCATTGAACTTGCTCATTTGTGAGTGGAACAGGCTGAAAGAAGACAGATTTGCCCTTCTCTCACATTGAAATGCAAGAGGCAATGTTGGCACTGCCAGAAGGAAATTCCCAGGGCCATCATTATCATAAGTTCAATGGACTCACTGTGACTCGGACACATTCCAGTGAGTGAACTCTTGCAAAGGATGCTGCGGTTTCAAAACTGAAATAAATCCAACCAGACAGGAATTCTTCCAGGTTCCAAACTTTGTAGAAAAACAGCAAACTTTCTCAGTAGAAGAGGGCAAGCCAAGACCATTCCTCTTCTTGAGGCTGATGACAATTTCCCAGAATCTTTAGTTGTCTGAAATGGCAAATAGCCACCTATCTTGAGAGTTAGGATTAGTTGTTTTCTGTAGGTGTCTTTGCCAACATGATTTTAACCAGATTAACAGAGTTGGAAGGCACCTTGTTAGGTCATCTAGTCCAACCCCCTGCTCAAACAGGAGACCTTGCACCATTTTTGACAAATGGCAGTCCAGTCTTTTCTTGAAAGCCTCTAGAGACGAAGCTCCCACAATTTGCGAAGGCAAGCTTAAAGACAAGCCATCGAAACATAGCCAAACTCTTAATATGTCATGCAAACCCAGAGGGCCACTGCACCCTTGTGAAAAAGTTTGTGTGAGTCATGTCTTGTGACAGTTGTGGCTTCCTGGACCTTCATTCTCCTTCCAGCCCATGCACAGAAACATGGAGTAGCAACCAAATGAGCTCCTTCCCCCAACTCAGACACCTGCAGTGGGACCCTGGGCTACCATCTTTCCCATCACCTCCCCCTCCATACCAGAGCACTTTTGTGCATTGCACAACTTGCACACCTGCCTATGGCAGCCGTGAAAACCCAAGCCATTTAGTTTCATTAAATGTATTACGTGGATCCAGGAAATGAGATTAAGTGAGCAGACTAGAGCTACATAAGCCATAGGCAATCATGACATGTGAACACAGCCACAGATTCATAGTGTGGACTGAGAGCTAAAACAAATGTTGTCTAATTCTTTCCACAATTCTTTAGGTATTTCCTTTCCTTAGGAATCCTATACCCACTCTAGGTGGAAAAAAAGGAGTACATTCAGCACTATCTTAAATACCTTGCATGAAGAGAATGCAAGTATCAGCCGTCATGCAAGTGTCAGCCGTCTCTTAATTGTGCAGTGAAATCATTTGATAAATCAACCTCTTTCTTTTTCTGGGCTCTGTTAACCTGGAGGCATTTCTTAGAAGGGGCAAAACACCCATTTGAGGTGTGGACGGATCATAAAAATTTGGAGGCTTTGAAACCGCCTCGGAAGCTGCCTCCCAAGCAAGTTCGCTGGGCGCAGTACTTTAAGCGCTTTAATTTTTCATTGAAGTACATTCCAGGGGGGAAGAACTTCATGGTGGAAGCTTTATCTAGATTACCTCAATATAATAGTGCTCTCCAAGAAGTGGTACGGCCTATTGTCCCAACCAAACAGTGGTTACCAGAGCCCAGAAAAAGAAGGAGGTTGATTTATCAAATGATTTGACTGCACAATTAAGAGACTCTCTAAAACTTGATGATTGGTTCCTTGCTAACTCAAATAACTGTACGGTTTGAGATGGATTCGCATGGGTTGAGTGCCAAATTATATGTGCCAGAAAAGCTGGGAAACCAAATATTACAGCAAGCTCGTGGCTCTAAAGCTGCTGGACATTTTGGATTTGTGAAAACCTTACACTTGGTTAAAAGGCAATTTTGGTGGCCTACCTTGAAAAAGCACATTGAGACTTATGTGGCTAGCTGTCCTATCTGTGCCTCAGCCAAACGGCCTCCTGGTAAACCAGTAGGCTTACTACAAAATGTGGCTAGACCAACGACTCCATGGAAGGAAATTTCTATGGATTTTATAGTGGAATTATCTGAAAGTGGGGGGAATACAGTTATTTGGGTAGTAACCGATTTGTTTTCCAAACAGGAGCATTTCATACCTTGTCCGAAAATCCCATCTGCGAAAACGTTGGCTAAACTGTTTATTTTACATATCTACAGGTTACATGGGGTTCCTGAACGCATAATCTCAGACAGTGGTGTCCAGTTTACTTCAAACTTTTGGAAGGAGTTCTAAAACCCTTTGATGGATCCACCCTGTTTTCCATGTTAGTTTATTAAAACCTGAACATACCTCCGACTTGAGACTAACTCAGGTTGATCCCCCTGTACCATTGCTAATTGAAGGTGTACATTTTGAAGTTAAAGAAATTTTGGATTCTCGAAAACGAAGGGGTCGACTCCAATATTTGATTGTTTGGAAACATTTTCCTCCTTCCCAGTCTGAGTGGGTGAATGAAAAGGATGTTAGAGCTCCTAAACTTATCAAGACATTTCGTACCAAATATCCTGATAAACCCTAAAAAATAGTATGATGGTGTTACATGTATATTTTCTATTACCTTCTAATTTTATCTTTTTTAGGACTAACGTCTCTTTTGCAGGAGGGCCGAATGTCAGCCTTCAAGATTTTCTCCCTTTGCTTTGCATCTTTCAGCTGTCATAAGTAATGGGGGGGGGGGGGGGAATGGTTATGGGAAGTGAGCTGGAGGTGTTACAAAACAGAACTGTATAAGCTTGGGGGGTAAATTCTTGCTTTGGTTTCTAACCTATGCTATGCGCAGCTGCAACTCTTTATCAAAATATGTCAAGGTCAATGAACAGAGGCCTCATCATCACCTGAAGATGCCCACATGATGATATACACAACTTTTAATTGGATGAGCCAATTGAACTATTGGGGGTGGAAACGTTGCCATTACTTTGTATATGTGATTTACGAACCCATTTTCTCAGATTCAGAATTCTTTTGTTGCTACCCCTTGATTTCCAGTAAAAGATATCTTTTCTCTGATTAATGGAGTCTAAGTATTTCTTCCTTGGATTTTGAATGGAGTACCAGCTGACAGCAAGTCCTAATTAGCTGGAAGGATGGTGTGTAGGCCATTTTCCCAAGCTTGGTTCAGTCACTTTGTGGCCCATCGGGTGAACCTGGTATTGGTGACATGAATTCTCTGGAACTCCACTGCCAAGGAAATAATGTCTTTTGAGAAAGGGGCCAAGAGGAGACCCAAGTGGCTAGAAACAACACCGTTTCTTCAACTCGCAGTCCACAAGTCTTAAAGTTACCAAGGTTGGACACCCATGCTGTAGATCAGAGGTGGGGAACTATGGCTCCTTTATGACCTGTGGAGTTCAACTCCCAGAATTC